AGACGAACATGTACTAGGTTTGATAATATATTTGTTGTTGGTAAGTTAAACAACTATAAAAATGATTTTAAATGAATATGCTGCAAAGAAATTTTCAAAGTACTTACAAGGCATTAAAGAACACATGCTAACTTAGAGAAGATCTAAATTATTGGTTATTATTGGATACTCGGATTCAGACTTTTGCTCATAATGTCTAAAGGAGAAAAATTATGGAAAGGTGGAACAAAAGTCCATCATCGCGACTTCCACGGTGTAGGGTTGAGTTTGTGGTATGCTTTGAGGCCACAAGTCAAATTTAGGGCTACGGTGCTTTATCTTAGGACTTGAAAATGTCGACATCTTGTCCAAGCCGCTAAGAATAATCGTAGTATCGTAGCAATAATATTTCAAGGAATGACATATTTTCAAAGGGTGTGAATCACATAAAATTGAAATACTTGGTCGTAAAAATAGAAGTGAGGAACTAAAGTGTCATTTGAGCATTCTAGTACTACTTGCATGAAAGCGGATCCGTTAAAGGATTATTCCCTATAGTCGTTGCAAAGCATATAAAGAAATTGGGAATAACGAATGGGGCCTTGTTGGACTGACCGATACTGAATGAAATTGCTCAATTAATGATTTTGACACTTATTGAATTCAATTAAAGATGTTTGATTCTTCACATACAATATCATCATTATGGATATTTGATTTTATAGTATATACATAAAAGTTGGATGACTTATGGTTATTGTACGAATAGTTTGTCCCATATTAAAGTAAAATTGAATTAGAAATGATTTGTGGTACATGGAAGGGATCATGTCGCTCGAAGACTTGTGACCGCCATGACTCGGTTAATTTCTAATTTGATTTTAAATTTAGAGATATATGTATTAAATTTTAAGTTTGATGAAAAGTGCGCGCTTAAAGTAGTTCTTTGGGTTTCGACACTATATGGTCCAAGTGGGAGAATGTAATAATATTTTATATTATTCTATTATTGTGGACCATATAATTAGTTGGACCTAATTGAATTAATAGTCAAACTTATTTAAGGTGAATATGTATTTAATGGATTATTAATGTTCTAATATTAAAGAGTCCAATTTGTGATGTTTGACTTGGACAGTAAGTTAGGTTAGAACATGGGGAATGTTAGTAGGAATATGTTTGTAGGACCCCTTCTATATATACTACATGCCCCTCTCTCCCATCTCATACGAAATAAAGTTCTCAACATCAAGGACTTTGTGAATAGACGAGAGACGCGGGAGAGAGAAACAAAACCCCCACGATCGGCCAGACATACAAGAAAACATGGAAGAACTAATGAATTCTTGTAAGTTTCTATGTGGAATTTAATTTATGCAAAAGATCCATATTCTATGAATTGATAGACTAATGAATTCTTGTAAGTTTCTATGTGCAATTTAATTTATGCAAAAGATCCATATTCTATGAATTGATAGACTTACATGTTTAGGGTTTATTCAATTCCGCCTAATAGTTGTGAATATACCCGTTAAATTTCTTACATATTAATCTTATCAATTGATCAGGCAGTCGATTTTGGAGCTTACATATAGTAGCTTTTCGAAGGTTTTTCTGTCGACCACTACACGCAGTGGAACCCTATCATGTAATTGGACCGTTTTTTCAAACATTAAGATATATAAGCGGTGCATACATTGGATCCCAATTAATCTCCATCACTTGCCTGCCGTAATCTTTTTTATCAAAGTCACTTTTATTTTCATTCACTTTTTATTTTTATGATCCAATGTATCTATAATTCTATATACATATGGATTTTTATGTGTAATTAAGTTCCAATTTTAAGGCCTCTCTACTTTAGGAATTTGATAGTTAATATACGTTTTAATATGAAAGTATAATAAATAAGTC